GCATACGTGCAAAAAAGACGATTGCGCCCATTACGCCGCACATGTTACATATCGCCGCGAACGTCGGAGTGAGAGCAATAAGTCTCGGGCCATCAATCACTGATAACACTAAACTGATGAGCGGTAAAAACGTTTAAAGTGTCGCCTATGGCCAATTTTGGTTGCCGTCGTTTTCTGCGATGTCGAGGGGTCCGCGCAATTTTAAAGCTTGACATGTTTAGTGTCTATTTAACCGACGTGACCCGATCTTTTATATTTGACCAAAAAACTGGGTAATAATGTTTCCTAACATAATGTTACAAAAAACGTTTTCTTTTTTCAGTAATTTTTCCTAATTATAATAAAAAATAAAACCCGTAGTGGTGATTAAATACCACCAAAATAAAGCTCTATCTGTCCCCAAAAAATGGTATAAAATTCATCTCAGTACAGCGTTGCATGACGGAATAAACGTCAGTCAAAGTATCGCAGTGCTGAATACTGAAAAATGGCCTGGCCAGGAAGGGGGTCTAAACACCTGGTCTTGAAGTGGTTAAAACCCTGTCAGGTTCTTCTTTTTTTGTTTTTTGGAGTATTGGATTGGAAATGATTTAAATCCCGTCTGTGTTTGGTTGGGGAGATTTCCCTTAACTTCCTGGCTTAAGAGGCACAACAGGAAGTGAGAAAATATATCTCTCCAAAGTGAGCGGAAATCCCCTCTTAGACACGTGTCCCTGTTAAAGCTCCTCCTCTTACCTGCTGTGTGATGGTGGCTTTTTATTTTGGTTTAGCCATCACTTTCTGTCCTCCTGAAAATGGTCCTGAAGTCAAAGAGAGGCTGAATCTTCCCAGCAGGAACGCATCAATAAAAACCTGACAGGAGATCTAACCCCTTCTCAATATGCTAATTACACATACTGTGTGTATGAAACTTTAATAAATGGATTCCCTATGACATCCAAATAAAAATGAGCTGTTTCAAGAGTGTATGACGAGACCCCTATCCCGTCCTACTATATCTCTATCTTTTAGCTCAAGTGCTCTCTGTATTAAAAGTTTAACGTTTTACAACAAACACAAGAACAAAACATTGTCTGTAGACAAACAGAGTTGTGATGTGTACATCAACATCACGGCAGACTATTACAAATACGCATTGTACTTGGAACAGTAGCTTTGCATAGTAACATAGTTCAGTGCCAAGCAGGTTGTGGTTTGTTCTAGTGCCAATAAAATAAAGGGACGTAATATCATTATAAATGCAAAATATTATCCAATATGTATAATGTGCAGATACACAAATACATGGGGCACAGCAGAAGCAGAAAACAGGCAGCAACAGTCAACAACACTTAAAGAAAACCCCCCAAAATATGGTATATCTATATATTTTTTTTCTTTGACCCATTCCTTTATTTCTAACAAGCATGAGCTGAGCAGTGAACCGGCTTTATGCGATTTATTGGAAAGGATGGAGGTCCAGCTTTCAGTCAAGTCAGCTCTCATCTTCCATGTTGTCTTCTCAGGTATCCTCCTGGCTGCTGAAGTCGCCTCCCTACAGAGCAACATCGATGAGACCCGCAAACAGTACCGAGCATTACTGACTGACAAACACCGGCTACAGTCTCAGCCTGTCTGTGCATAAACATTTCCTTCAGGAAGATTTAAGGGACGGGCCACAAAATACTGATCGTTCACCTCTAAACGGACAATTTTGGGTGGAATCGGAAAATAAAACTGGATTATTGATATCTTTTATCTTTCAAGAGCTCCAGGGGTAAGATCTACCCTCCATCGCTATCTGTCCCCATCTCAGCCAATGCAAGGTGTCTGCAGTGGTGAAGAGTCTATGCCGTAATGGCTGCCAGTGATGAGTGGAACTAGAAACACCTGGTGTAGACATTTCAGGTGAAAAATCAGTTTTGGGTATATTTGTACTTATGCTTTTTTTCCTCAGGGGCCTTCTGTTTTTTTTAAAAAAAAATTTTTTTTTAAATTTAGATTTGATTTTGATTTGGTTTGTCTTCTTTTCCACCCTTTCTGTACGGAGAATTCCTGACTTTCCTGGAAACGTTTGATCCCCGACATTCGAAATACACACACCTGGTGGCTCTTGGCTCCATTAAATGTTACTCACTGGATCCTCTCAGTAGCTGCTTAGTACAAATTTCTCACACACTCAAGACCAAATATTCAATTGAAACTACTGCTGTAATTTATGTGCATGTTTGTAGTCTGTAATTTAACGTATATGGTACTTGATTGATACAATTAAAAGATTATTATTCTAAACCTCATCCCTGGTTGATTCAGTGTCAGACATATTTTTATGCATCAGTGTAAACAAGCATTAATTAATAAACAAACACAGAGGACAGAACCTGCAGGAAGTATACCAAAACTTGCTGTCAAAGCATAACACATACAACAGGAGCGCCAGACCCAAGTCCAAATCTCTTTAGGGGTTCGTTCACACCATAGGCAGTGCGTTCCGCAATGTGATCGCCCGCACGGGATCGCAAGGCACATTGTGCCTGCAGTGCGTTCCGGTGAGATCACAATAGCTGCTATTTTGATCGCACAGCAGGCACAATGTGCCTTGCGATCCCGTGCGGGCGATCGCATTGCGGCAGCAGGGCGAGGCTACGGTGCCATTCACTTCAATAATATAAAAGTGAGAGAAAGTTTTTATATACTGTAAATTTGGCTGGAGCTGTTCTTACCAGGGGGCAAGTCCACCCAAAATTGATTTTAAAGAGGAACTTTAAACGAAACATTACTTTTAAGGCATGCCAGCTGTCGAGGTTGCCAGTGTGCTTATTTCAGCTCTCAACCGAACTTTCAAACCCTTAAATGGCTGACCACATGTGCGGCACAATGGAAGCTGCAATCCAATTAGAGGCTAAGATGGCGCCTTCCTTGGCTGCAAGGGAGAATAGGCTGTAGTTTGGCTTTAAAGAGACTTTGGTAGGTGGATAACTGACCTCTTCTTACATCTCTCTGGGATTGCGGCAGTAAGAGTTCTTTAACTGGAAATCTCATCTTTCCATTACTACAGCTACAATGATTTAAAGCATGGGGGTCTGGTTTTCCTTGCTAGGTTCTCTATGATGCTGAATCAAGTGGCAAGTGGGAGGCCGTTAGTAATGGGCTAAAAAGTGGGCGGAGCTGCGAACACAGGTGTAGAACATCTTGAGGAGACCTTGATGACTCATTTACCACAGGAGGCATACATTCTACCTACCTTGTATGGCACCTTGCAGGTAACTGCACCCAAACTGCAGCATTCTGCAATTCAGTGAATGCCGTGAACAGACTTTTTAAACCAAAAGTTTCCATGTCTATGTATATTTATTTATAAAAATCTGATGATGGGTTTTGCCATAAAGATGGAATGATGAATTTTCCTGCTGTCTTCTCTTAAAGGAAGCAATACTAATTGTTGTACCACGAGCGTATGTTATTTCCCTGAATATATGTCATTGAGGGGTATACGGTACTAGGAGCCATTTCTTTTTGCCAGATGAGGCCAGCATGCCCTTTAAACTGAAATGTAATCTTCCGTAAACTGATTATTTTAATAGTACGCAATGGGTTGGCCATACTGTCTGTGGGTGTTGCTTCTCTCTAATCCTTTTCACAAGAGAATCTCCTGGACATTTAATCGTGAAACATGACACAATTCTGTGATGCAACTCCTAGTCAAGAAGCATTTCCCTTCACTGTGACAGTAATTCACATAAGTTGACCACAGAAGGCCGAGGTAACGAGCCAGCTACTGACAGGAAGTGATGTTGAGTATCATATCGAACCATGACAACTACCTATGACAGGAAGCTTTAGCCACAGGGAGGAAATGAGAGAACAGCTTCGGAAGAGCTGAGGGGGCACACAGCATTCAAGATGAATTTAGAGTTATAGAGACAACCTTCAGTATGAAGACCGGGGGGGACCATTTTTGCTGGCAACTGCAGTGAAAACCATGGACGGAGGTGAAAAGCCCCACGATTTCCTTGAGGAAGATGGCGACGCTTGGTATGACAGACTGTGGAGATGAAAGAGCACAGATTTAGCGTGACCTACTTTATGTGAAAGGAAATATGTTCTGTGTGAAAAGCCTCTGGTGGATGCTGGCGTTTTTAACTGCCAGTCTGCATTCTAGTTTTATGATTTATATTAAATTTAAACTTTGCTCCCGTGAAATTAACATGCAGAAAGGCAGCTTCCATCAAAGCCTTCTCACGCAGATATTATGCTTGTAAACAGAGAGGTCAGTGAAATTAGAATAGAATTACTTTATGGAAATGCTAATAACACTGTGTGTGTGAATTCCACTCCTTCACAGATATGAGATATTTTATATTTATATGTAACTTCTTATTTTGTATGCTGCTGGTTTTGCCTTACAGGGGTCGGTTGACCATGTATGTCCTTATGCCCCCTAGTATGTCCTCTGTGATTACTGGACAGGAAGTCAGCTTGACAAATATCACTTCCCAGACATCTTCTTCTCTGTTTCTTAGCTCTAATACATGTCTTCTTACATATTTATGGATGATTGTTAGTGACAATATTTTACTGGAGTTCGGTGTCCCGCTCACAACCACTGCCCCATCAGAGGTGTCACCAGTGTTACCCATTGGCTCTGAGGCTATCAACACTCAGCTAAAATATTTGCCATTTTTTTGGGAATCATAGCTCCTTTGAAATATATATCTGTGTCCACAGCGTCATGACTGTTGTTACCAGGAAAGAAAGTGATGGGAAATCCAACATTTTACAGCTGTTACAGGATCCGTGGAGACATTCTTACATGACAACAACTGTTCTAGTAATAACTGTCTAAGATGGGATTTCACCTCACATTAGGCAGATCTCCTCATACTTCCTGCTGTGTCTCCAAGACAGGAAATAAAAAAAAAAACACCTAATTCTGTTCAAAACTGTGCTATCCCCTTTATACCCCCTTCTTATCTACTGTAACTTTAGATTCCCCAGACAGTATACAATTGTTTCCGGGTTTATATACAAAGCTCTATTGGTTGCCATTCCAGTAAAAGCAAGCCTTCTTTCTTGGAAGTTCCATTCCAAGGTCTCCTTGCAGGCTGGTAGTGCTGCAAGCCAGAATATTATAAAATGTATAGTATTCTATCTGTTTACCTCTTACAGGGCTCCAGTACAGCGAGAGCGCTCCTTTACCACTGGGTCACTGTCTGAGAGCTCGGGGGTAAGTAGACAAGGGAACTGTGTGGGGCATAGTGCTTAGGGGTGCATCTAATACCTGCTTTTTTATTTTAGCTGAAAAGGAGGAAACATGGAGACAATTTACCAGCCCAGGTCACAGATGAAAAGGTGAATAAAGATATTACTGCCGCATGACTAGCTTTTCTTCCAGAATCCTCTGCTCTCTACACACAGTGGCCCTATTCACAGGACATCCTCTACCCACTAGACACATTGGCTCTACTCCCAGAATCCTCTGCTGTCTGTACACACTGGCCCTACTCACATGACCCTCTGCTCTTTACACAATGGCTCTGCTCCCTGAATCCCATGCTTTCTACACATTGGCTCTACTCCCAGAATCCTCTGCTTTCTACACATTGGCTCTACTCCCAGAATCCTCTGCTCTCTATACCCACTGGCCCTACTCACATGACCCTCTGCTCTTTACAGACGGGCTCTACTTCAAGAATTCTCTGCTCTAAATACACACTGGTCCTCTGCTCTTCACACATTTGGTTTCCTCCCATAATCCTCTTCTCTCTATACATCGGCTCTACTCTTTACACATTAGTTTTACTCCCATAATTCTCTGACTCCAGGATCATCTTCTCTCTACACTCATTGCTTCACTCCCAGGATATTTTACTCGTTTTACAAATTAGCTGCGCTTGAAGAATCCTCTGCTCACTACACACTGGCCTACATTTCCAGAATCCACTGCTCTCTATACAATGCTTTCAGTCCCAGAACCCTCTGCTCTCCAAATCACTCTTGATGCACTCCCAAATTTTTCTGCTCTCTATACACTGATTTTATTTCTAGGATCCTCTGCTCTCAAAACACTGACTGCATTCCCAGAATCCTATGCTCTCTACACATCAATTCTGACTCAGCTATCTGATTGGTCACATTTCTGACCTGTGTATATTATTAATTAACCACAGCAACCTGATTCCCCTTTAAGACCACTCAGACAAATCATGCACCCCAAGCAGGTCCATCCACATCCAATAATTCTATGCTCTCTTCATTTTATGAGTCTGTCCCATAACCCCCTACACTCTGTGCACTGACAACACACAAGCCTAATTTTTGCCCTTTACAGAATGCTAGAAATTATGGGATTGTTTTACTACACAAATTCACTCTCATCACACAAGCTCTCAATAATGACAGAATACGAGGTGTAATAACCAATGGCAACCAAATAAAAAGTCTCTTTACATCAATAATTTGCAGCCTGGCTGCTATAGACTACTGCACTTTGCACATTGTTCTTGCATCATCCTATTAAATAGGCGTCAAAGGTATATTTTATGTAATTTAAAACCATCAGGTATAGCCAGCTCTATATTTACATTAGTTTTTATAAACGTCAAGTGTTTGTTCATAAAAGAGGTCTTTAAAATGAGTGTAAATCTCTTGATTTAACACCAGGACTTCCTGTATAGTGTTTGCATTTACAAGACACTTTCCTCTTTTTAGAAGTGTACAATTCCTGACAAGCGAAGCAAAGTTTCAGCTGCCATTTAAAATTGGACTCTTTATAGCATAGCTGCATTTAAAAGAGAGAAACTTTGCCAGAAAACATATTTATTCCCTAACAAACTGTTGTCACAGTCTCCAATGTATATAAAGCTGCACTGAACACCCAGGACCTCCATGTGAAAAAGTTTATTCCCAGAGCCTGTGGATCTTGTTATGTTTATAACGTTGTAGATTCCAGCTTTACATACATTGGATTACTAGTGACGGCCGTGGTGTCCCTCTGTTGGCCAGAACCCAACTTTTTGGACAGGACCAATTTGGGCATACAAATATGAGCAGTGTCTTTTTCACAAATGTTTCTATTGTCACAGTCTGTTTGCCTTGTATGTCACTTGTAGGAACCCAGTAACAAGAGGGTTAAGCCTGTCGCCAAGTCATTATTGACCAATAGTACACCGCAGCAAATGAAAGTCACCCCACTGAAGAAACTCAGCTTATCCATCCAGGTAATAGAAGACACAGAGAGAGCAGAGGTCTTTGTGCAGACAAGTAGACCCTGGCTTGCAGTATGACCACTAGAGTGTTACTGACTGCACCACCAGCAAATATTGTTCTGGGTTCAGTGTCAGTGCAGCACTTGGGGAGAAGGAGAATGGGGTCTCTGTGTACCTGATCTCAGTGTCTTTTGAGGCCTCAGATGGTCTTGTTAAAGTGGACTTGTCACTATCTGTAGCACTTCAAAACTACATGGTAAATAATAAAATAATGGTAAAAATACCAAATTAAATAAAACCCATACATAATTGCATAATACACACACTAGGGTTCCATTAGAATGCAGGGGTGTACATTGGATCCCTATTGGCTACAACTGTTAAAATGATGTCAATAAAGTGTTTCCCAACCTTGTTCTAAAGCCTTGGTTCTCAACTGGTGGGTCGTGACCCCATGTACAGTGGGTCGCCGCACGCCTTACACTTTTCTAGGTGAGAGCCTCCTCTGCCTCCTCCTAGCGCAGCACTGTCAGTTCTTGCGCCAAGCAACTATTCAAAATATGCCTCCCAGCGCCAAGTGTCAGCTTTAGGTGGGATGGAGATATAGCAGCAAGGGAGCCCCATCCATACGTGCATTGCTTACAGCTTCCTCACGTGTCCTATAGAGATTGCTGGACCTGAGTGACATCACATTCTGGCTCCCGGCACCTCTACAGCCTGTGCAAACAATGCACATATGGATGGAGCTCCGTCACAACATATCAGCACACACTGGACCCCAGGCTGAGGATACACTCCAGTTCTTGTAAGGTAGGGAGAATGGGTGGACCTTAAAAAATAAAAAATGTTTTTGGAGTGTGTATGTGTGTGTTAGAACGTCTGTGAGTGTGTGAGATTGTGTATGTATGCCAGTGTTTTTGAGGGTCCATTCACACAAGTACAGTGCGCTAATTGCATAGTGCCGTGCGATGAACGCACTGTACCACGCAATCGCTCCTACCGTGCATTCTGGTGTGGGAGGTGCACCTCCCACCCACAGTTTTTACACCCGCATCGGAACGAGCGGTACCCTAATGCTGTGCGTTCCATTGCAGTGTGACTTGGGTCACGACTTAATGACCAAGGACAAATGTGGGTCCTGAGGTTACACAGGTTGAGAACCACTGTTCTAAAGTCCTTCCAACTGGTTTGTGGATATCATTAAAGGCAGCTACTGTAGATTGCATTGCTGAGACCCTAACTTCTCCAGATCTGCTCTGTACGTTTACCTGCAAAATATACCCTGCTTCTAGCACTATAAGGCACACTTTACCCTAATTTTCTTTCCCTTTGACTCAAGTTGATTCAGTGAAAATTGTACAAAGGGAGAACTGGGCGCTAACCAAGATCAATCAGGTTTTCATGAAGCCTTTAATGAAGTTGGAGTTGCAATGGGGCGAGTGATTAGGGGAACTCTAAACTTAAATGCAGAATGTTGACTAACACATTCCAATCTCTGCAGCGTTCTATAGGCTACTGCAATGACAACCGTCTTTTCAGCTTTTCCCCACGTACGCGGAGTAGAGATTCAGCATCAGCTAAGAAGAGAAGCAGCAAGTTGTGGAGTGAGACCTATGATGGTGCACGGGAGGAGCTGTCTGCCCGGGAGATCAAACGTCAGGAGGTGAGGCCCAGCTATACTATGAATACTGTATGTTACCAAAACCAGTTTGTTTTATATGGTGTATTAAAGAGTAGATTTACCTTAAGCTAAAACATAGTGGGTTTGGTCACCTATGACCTTTTTTCTGACATTCTGAGCTATTATATTATCTCTGGCCCCCACAGTAAATATAACTACAGAAGACAGGTGTCATTACTCACTCTACTTCAGCCCCTACCATCTTTTGTTTTCCTTGTGATGACTACAATGTCAGCCTCACCCTAAGCATAGATTCTCCAGGTTGTGTGACAACCATCTAAGTACCAGCAGACTGAGAGTGTAATATACGTCCGCCCTGGTCTGTCTGTGAAATGGTCACAGGGTGCAGTAAGCACTGCTAACAGACGAATTTCCTTTGTGGAAAAGAAGTTTGAATTGATGTTGAGGTCAGCCCCTTCCTGTTTAGACCAACTGCGGATTGGCATTATATATGCTGTTCTTTTATGGTTTGTTTTAGCATTTTCACATGAAAAGCTTTCTGTCTTTTACCTCCTTCACCCAAACTTACCGCTCTTTATGGTTGGATATGGCCCCTCCCATGCGGGCTGTCATTTGTTAAGCTGCATAGGGAGTAGAATATACACCTTCCGGCACACGCTCTATGTCTGCTCTCTAAATTTGTAGTCACACCAAAGTTTTGGCTTTCCCCAAGCTCGTGTTATGTTTTCCCATAACATCCCAACCAATGTCCATTTTGCCATGGAACTTCAGTACCTAATCCACCACAGAAAGCAATCTCACTCCCTCGGATTAGGTCTAAAGGTCCTCTCACTCGCTTTCTGTATTCAGATAGTGAAAAGTCTGACTCGTGGTGTTCCTCTAAGAGTGAGACAAATATCATTCCCACCCCAGTCCCTGTCACTCCTCAGACGTCCTCACCATTTGTTTTAAATGCTTGCATATGCTGTTCATTTGTGGGTGGTAAGGACCAGCCACAATGTGCATCATCTGTATTTTTCTACAGAGAGCCCGCATCAGGTTGGACACAAACTGTGGGCCATGAGCACTAAGAAACTCTGCAGGGAATCCCACTCTCATAAAGATAGCAGAGCATCAGTGACCTTGTCCTCCCAAAAGAAGGATAGTGTCGCAGCCTCTGGATAATGGGTGTTCATAGTCCACTACTGTCAAGATGTATTGTTTGCCTGAACTGCTGGGGATGGATAGTGGGCAAGTGATATCCTCCACCACCCTCTTAACAGGCAAAGATCGTAATGGAGTAATGAAGCCCTGTGAACATCTCTTGCCTTGCCAACCCTCTGGCAGATAACACAGGACTGACAGTAGTTAAATATGTCTGTAAGTATGTAATGGCAGAAACAAAATATGCATCCCAAGTGACTAGCTCGGGAAATTTCATGTGCCACCTTCAACAAGTATCCCCTAAATGTGTTGGATACAATGAACTGCCTATTGACCATTTTTGCCTCACTGCTTTCAGTGGGCAGATCCTTTGTTAGTTCTTTCCATTGTGCCAGTTAACCTTTTGTTTCACTCCCTCCGCTGGAGAATTAGAAGCTAGGCTTTTTGAGCTTCTCCAGAATTGTGTCAGTTTGCAGTACTTGCTGAATGGCAGCACTACAAGTCCTGATCAACTGTCCCGTTACAGTTCAACCAAATGTCCACTGGTCTGTGCAAAGAAAGGGGTTATGGGTACCAGAGACAATGCTTCAGCAGCCTTTCCAGCATTCTTATGTTCTCAGTCTCACCTTGCACAGAGATTTTCCAGCTCGCAGGACAACACTAAGTACCAGCAGCGTGAGAGCGAGTTAATCCTTTATACGCACACATACACAGTAGCCACCACCACATGTTTTAAGGGAAACACGCAACATTCACAGCACTTCTGACCTTAAAAAATATGTCTGTAATGCCTGTTGCCATGCCCAAACAGTATTGTAACGGAGTTGACACTTTGGTAGCTCTTCACAGAAGCATGATATAATTTAGTCCCTAATTAAAGCATTCAGAGATTCAGCTTAACAATTTTTAAATATAGTTTTAATTTAAAAAAAGAGATATTATAAAACAGATACAAGCAACAGTCAAATAAAAGGGTTTTAAAAGTAATAAATGGCTAAGTGAAGTCCGTCTAGTCTTAGGTTCAGTGCAGAGTCCGGATCACTTGTAGAGTAAGTCTAATCTGATGATCACGAGTCACTGGCCGCTAAAAACAAGAAACCGGAGCTGCCACTGCAACAGCTTCTTCACCCTGGAGAGGTTTTCCAGATGTAATTTCCACCCAATCAAAGGGTTTGAGGGGTATTTTATTATGCCCAGCAGATACGCATCCTAACTTCTAACTATCCTGGGTACATCTACATCTCCAGTTTCGCAGTCTGACAACTGGCATATCAGCAGAATATTTGCACAGAATATTACTGGATATTAAGCATCAGAGATTGTTGACCCAGGGAATATCCGATTGCCTTATGGGAGCAGGAAGGAATTTTTTTTCCCTGTTGGAGCAAATTAAACTATGCCTAATAGGGTTTTTTTGCCATCAACAGTGGGTGACTGTGGGCATTGCATTCTGTTTTAGGTTTTTCTGTTTTTTTCCCCCCTCTTATCGCTATAGGTTGAACTCGATGGACTTTTTTTAACCTGACTAAGAATGAAATTATGATTTGTTAGATACCAAATATGATATAGATCTTATACAGTACATATTTCTCTTCGGAGGTCTAATGTGTCTTTTTAGCCTACTGGACTTTGTAAATTAGGCATGTTTGGTTTCTAAAAGATTGCTATCTCTTTTTGCAAATTATTTATGTAACCGCTCACAGAGACAGTTGGAATCACAGGATAACAAAGTATGACAATCATTACAGGTCATAACAACATAGTTATCATAGCATAACAGAATGACTAGGACAAATCACATTGTCTAACATGGAAACAGATTGGTATCTTATCCATTTCTGTATTGTAGGTTAAATGCTCCACTACATCATAGTATAGTGCACAACCTTTCTATACTCACACCCTGTGTAAGTTCTGTATATCACATGCTACACTGCAGGTCCCAGGGTTTCTTTTGTATAATGCAAAAACTTCTATTCATTTATTGAATATTGAATATGTCAAATATAATTCATGCACAGGTGATCTTCGAGCTGATGCAGGGGGAGCACATGCTGATAGAAGACCTCAACCTGGTCAAGAAGGTAATAAAACTCCAAACACATTAGGAATAAGAAAGATTTAAGATTTTTAAACTCCATTGGTGTTCCAGAGTGGTCCCATTCCTCCTAATGCTTTCTATGTAATATCATTTTTTTGAAATGATAAATGCCTCTGTAATATAAAAATACATTAAAGTCCATCAGGAAGAGCCAGCCCCCATTTGTTTGACCTTAGCAGGTATGCAGAGCGGGGAACTCAGGTGTAGAGATAATTGGTTGCCACTGAAGCTAAAATTAACTGTATGGTGGTTTAAGTAGAACACCAGCGAACATTTTCTTCTAGTTTTGGATAGGGTGGGGGAGGGTTAGAACTTCTGTCTTTTTCCTATTTTCTTTAACTGCGTCCCCATTAGGTATATATTTCCCTTCCTGTCCCAGTAACAGAGCAGGAAGGAAATCTACCCGGGTCTAATTGCTCTACTTGTCTCTGTTGGAAAGATTCTCCTAACTTCCTATCCCACTGACATAACAGAAAGTCATTGGAAATCTATGTAACAAAGCCACAGAGAGCACTTAAAACTTGACAAGTGTGTATAGCCTTCATTGTTCCATCTAAATTAAGTGCAAAAATGTTTGGCTGGGGGTTACTTTAATGCTCCAGCGTCTACCAAACACTAAAATGCCTGCATTTTATGGGACTGAGCATTTAAATCAGTGATTGCCACCTTGTGGGGTATAGAGGGCTGTGGCTTAACTGTGGCACTGACATCACTAATAATGTTCAGTGTATGTAATGCTACAGACGGCTGTTAGAGACTGAAGACTTATTATATGAAATGGTCAGAGACTATGGACATGCTACACGTGTGGTTGTAGACTTGAAAACATGCTGCAGGTTATGGTCAGAGACTGGGGATGTTACATACGACTGCTAGAGATCAGTGCTATTACAGCGCCTTTCCAAAGCAATGCCCTCACTCCCACTACTGACTCTTGAAATATGTTGCTGGTATAACTTGGAAAGAATTAGCTCCACCGTCCATAGCAGTTAGATGTTTCCTTGGCATTTTGTTAACTGGATGTGTCAAACCAACCTGCTCACCATTCCTTGTGTGTTTGATCTTCCAGAATTACTATGAGCCCATGCTAAAACTGGCAATCATGAGTGAAGAGGAGCTGAAGCAGATATTTGGCATCCTGAACACTTTGCCCTCACTGCACCAAGGTGAGATGGTCATTTCTTATACAATACTGGTGGTTGTGTGTGTGGACACTGGAGGAAGGATTGCTCTTATTAGTTTGTATTTTATAACACAATTCAGCCAGAATCTTGTGCATTGTGTTGGGAATCACCTCTGCTGTCTCTTATATGTTTAATACTGAATTATATACACTGTGCTTATTACACTGCATAGAGAACGATATAACATTCTCTATCCTAAAGAGACCAACATGCAGAGCAAAATTAAAGTGGAACTGCCGACAAGTATATAACACGCTCTGTAGTCAAGTTATGTATTCATTAATATAATCATTTCATGTTTTACAGCAAACATGTTTTGTATTTAGGGCACCATTGCTGACTTTTTCTTCTAAAAAATGCTATTTCTCTAGCGGTCATGCTGATCTTGAGAACTTCCTGATTTCAGATAAGCAACAAGTATGCTGATTGGTAACACTGACCTCTCTCTGACTTTTTAATGTGATTGCCATTTTCAGAAGCAGGTCAGCAATGCTAGCCTTTATTCAGCGCAAGTTTCTTTTAACATACTGCTGATATCTATCTTTCTATTATTTGCCTAAAGTTCCTTATGCAGCAGAATTTGGACTGTAAGTGGGAGGTTGTGAATTGTGAGACTGTCAGGCTGTATTGCACTGCATAGTTTTGTCAAGCTAACATGATTCATGCAGTAAGAACCGGAGGAAGACGAAGCTTAGTAGAGGAGAGCCCATCAGCAGTGTGATAGTGGTTATTTAGAGCATGCGGATACACAGAATGTTTCAAATAGTGATTAGTAGTGTGTCACCTACCGGGTTATGCTGCCTGGCAGGTGTGTGTGAATGACAAGACTTACTGAGCATCTTCTCAGCAACATTTGGAGTATTCCACATTCCCCAGAAGTTGCTAGAATGAGGATATCACCCTGTGGGTGGAAGCCTGGGAAAGGTAAGTATACTATCTAACTCCTTATACTGCAGGTTTGGGGGTTTTTTTTTAAGGTGAGGGGTGCACACTACTTACAAATCTTTAAGATCCCATAAACAATAAGTGCCTGACCACTTGTAGTCTTCTGTTAGGGTGCAATTAAGAAGCTGACAATGCATGAGAACAATTGGGGGACAATTGTCACCCCATAACAGGAAGTGCCTGAAAATGGACCTTCATACCATAATTATTAGGTATTGGGGTAACCAAAGCTACAAAACTATGTCATTACAATCACATGTTGAAGCTTATGTGAGAATTTAGTGATTGAGTGTAGAGCCATGACGTTTATTTCTCATAGAGATGTAGTTGAAACATTTCCCGCTGAAACTTCCCATTGCCTTGATAGTTCTGTTCACCAGGAGCAAATGATATCTATGAGAAAACGTCACCTTTTATTCCAGATCTCTTGGACCGCCTGATGAAGTTACGCCGTGAGGATGGAACGGTGGATCAAGTGGGGCCAACAATGCTGGATTGGGTGAGCAGAATCCGCACTTCTCTGTGTGCTAGTTACACTGACCATGCAAACATTATTATTTCAAGGCCAATTCTTAATATGTCTTCCAACATCTAATAGATATGGATGAATTATTTGATTTGCATTGAACAAGACATTCCAGGTACCTGACTTGTAATCCAAGATTTTAAGAGTCCTAACCTTTTGTTGGGGAATACAATCCAATTGCACATTCTCCTTTACCTCTACTAACAACTATGTAATGAGGGGCCTGCCTGATTGGATACATATTGAATGGATTGTTTAGGCAGCCCCTCATATGACACAGTTATTGGTGAGATTTTACAGAAATTGTGCAGTCAGATTTGACCTTGTGGCCCAGGGTCAGTTCACCTAGTAGTTGTATTTCAGTTTCTGGTGGATATAGAGAGTTAAACCATGTAACGGATTCTTTTATCTCTTTGAACTCTGATGGTGGAATTAAATGAAGGATGGCCGTACACAATCTGAAGGTGGGTGGGAGTATACCTATGGCAGAGCGATTTAGTTCATGGATTTGCTAGGGGATATAACAAACTGGCTGATGACGCAGCCCACCAGACATCACCTATAGCTGAGATATCACTGTTGGGTGGAATGACTTATTTAGCTGTAGGTAATTGGGATCCTCTAATATATACTCCAAGAAATGCTATACAGAGATAATAAAATGGCCCCCATAAAACAGCTTTGTATATACATTTGATTAAATAACAATTTCAGAGAAGCTATATAAAATGACAGTGTGTTGGGAGAGGTATTTCCTAATGTCCACAAAAGCTTAATTCCTCTCCTGGAAATCCAGCTGCTGCTATACAGCCTCAAAATAGACTGGGTTGAACCAAGTGTACCCACCAGCCCTTCTGACTTCACTGGTTGCATGTTTGTTCTGGATTAGTGGCTCAACGTACTGAAGCTTGAGCCAGCCAGTTGACTAGCATTTTCAGTTACCAGTGGCAGCCTCTGCATGTTTCTCATGACTCCTTTAACACAGGTCACTGTCACCATTTTGTTTCATTAAATAATACAAAATGTTCTGCAGCTTCCTTGTCTCCAATCCTACAAGACTTACTGCTGTAACCAAGTGTCTGCCAAGGCCCTGCTGGACCACAAGAGGAGGAGCCAGGCCGTACACAACTTTCTACAGCTATGCCAGGAATCGGCCTTCAGCCGTAAACTAGATGTGTGGAGCTTCCTCGACCTGCCCCGGAGGCGGCTGGTGAAATACCCGCTTCTGCTGAAGGAGATATTAAAGCACACGATGGTGGATCACCCGGACCATGGACCCCTCAGCCAGGCTGTGAGTAATGCCCCACCTTTATTTCCATGAATGCTTCAAGGTTTTGGAGAGCTATATAGAATACACAGAACCATCTACCGATCCCAAAAGAGCTTACAATCTAATGGCCCTGCCAGTCATGCATCTTCCAGTATGTTTTTCGCAGTAACTGGAGTAAATAGACACAAGCACAAAGAGAACATACAAACTCCATGGAGACAGGGCCCTGTTGGAATTTAAGTCAAGGACCTTGGCATTAAAAGGATGCACGGCCCTGGTTGCAACATGCTGAAACTCCCTGAGTAACACCCCTCTGTATCTCAAAATAATGTAGGTGCATCAGCTGCCAATAGTGTTCCTCTCTTTAGATAGTGGGATGCCAGATGGGGACACAGCGCTAAAGGCTGAGGTCACAATTACAGTGTGTTTGAGATCCAGGGCTTTATGGGTACACAGAGGAGTCCCAAAGTAAACATAAATGTACCTGCAGACACCTTGTAGTGTCTGGCTGTACTAGGTATTGTATAGGGAGCTGTCACACATTCTCAGTATACCTCTACAAACAGGCTAAATCTCCCACTGATGTATTGTGGAAGTAACATTAGATATAAAAAGTGGCATCATATTACAGATAAGTTCATAATTCATCCAATTGGACAAATACTATGCATTATGAGCTAGATGCAAAATAGTAGATCCTGGCCTCATAACCACCTAGGGACTGAAAAATGGATGAATGGACCCAGCTCACTGTGATTATGTTCTTCTTTGGTTCGGTGGGTTCTTCTACCCGCCAAACAAATCTAGTTCTGGTTAGCTAGTTGCCGTGGGTGTGATTCATTGACAGGGGACACCAGTGGCAAAATCTCCTGACTGGAGTTCCAATTTCTTATTGACTTGGCAGGCCATTCCCACTAAAATATGCAGTCCATATTTAGTAGACAGGCCCTTTAAAATGCCAGTAGCAGTGACTGATGTCACTGGAAAATCTCCAAATACTGCCCCTACAGAAACTTATGTGCTGCTTGTCTTTAATACTAGGTTGTCCATTCTCTGTTTAGGTGAGTGTCATCCAGACCATTATAAGCCAGATAAACAGCAAAGCTGGGGAGGCAGAGTGTGAATATTACAAGAAAAGGTTAACCTATCTGTACGAGAGTCAGAACGAAGAGGACGTGTCACTTTCTCGGATCCTGCACTGCCATGGAGAGCTGAAGAGCAACAAAGGCCAAGTGAGTAAGACTGTCAGACTTTTAGAAAGAGGAATGCGTGGAAACCTGCATCTGTCTGGGGCCAATAACTCAATTTGAATTTATCATGAACCTTTCAACGCTTGTCCCTTTTGAGATTTCATATTAACAAGTACCCAAAATAGGGCAAATTTAGTCAGATGCTGGCTAGGCTACCAACATATTAGTTGTGGAAAGAAGTTAGCACTAGGAGGGTATCAGTGCAGACATATGGAGAACATACGAACATCATGCTTGTAATGTCCTAGTGAGAACTGAACCAAAGACCTCAGCACTTTAGATTTTTAGCCATGTAGCCACTGTGCGGCCCTTAGAGACCTATAGCAGCCTGATTTTTCTGTGTACTGACATCATATCCTGTAAAATCTGATGTACAATTGATTGCTTTTGGTTCCTTTGGCTTTTTTAAAGAACTCCATTAGTTTTCAAATGCTTTGTAATATAGGAGCTGTTATAGGTGGTCGCTGTTGGGACATGGCTCATACAAAAAAATATCATAGCGATCAATCAGATTTTAAACTTCATTTTGTAGAGCAGGTTAAAATAAAAAAAAAGGTAGCATATGAGTTTTTGCTTCGGACAGCTCTGTTGTCCACAGAATTGTAATATAGGACTTGCTTTATTTAGTGTTGCTATGATATTTAGGACACATTGGGGGGAGTTTATCAAAACTGGGACAGAATATGGAGTAGTTGCCATTGTAACCAATCAGCTTCTCTTTTCATTTTGTTCAGTTAAACTGTTTTGCTATATCCCCCTCACTGAGTTGATCTTTTTGTAGCAATAATATCAGGAGTGTGTATTGATGTCCATTTAATGACGGGAGAATTGTCGGACAAACGTGTTATAACACATACATTCCATTGAAGTGTGTTGAAATAAAAAGTGGGAGGTACAGGTTTTGGCCCTAGGAAGTGTATTGAAGTCTTACTGCAAATGCATATAGGCCCTTAAAGTGGATCTTTACCCATATCTTTGAAAAAACAACAAACATGCCTTTAGAAATGTTTAGTAATGACAATCTACAAACACATACTTCTAGATAATTGCCGGCCTTGCATTCTTTGCATACTTTATTTCTCTTTTCTTTCTTCTCACAGTGGCCATGTTAACTAAGGGCAGGTTACTAGCTCTCCCTTTACTTCCTGAAAATCTGGCACATGTGACCAGGCATGCACATCATCTCAGGGGAGGAAAATACCTTTCCCTGAGATGAGATTTCCCAGCAATACTCTGCTGAGGTAACCTTCCCAGGATGCAACACTTGGGCACAATTACATCATTTATGCCAAAATGGACCAGGAAGTAAATAAAAAAACAAGTTTGTTTAACCAATAAATGTAAGATGATTTTAAATCAGTATGCAGAGCTGCATGCTGCTGTGATTTTTAGTGAAAGGGGGTAAATGTCTGCTTCAAGATCACTGCAATGCTGCAAATTTGATAAAGTGCAAACAAGATAAAGAAGGAAACCCAAGTTCAGCCTAAAATGTATTTATTTGTATCTGCAAAGTGAAGGGACATCTGTAAACCTTTTATTGGTTGTGTTGTCACAAATTTCAGACAGAACATGAAGATAAATCACCTCTATGTGGGTATTGAGAATATAAAAGCCTTAAAAATCAAAAGGAAACATTGGCTAGATCTTTGTTGGCTTTGTTGGATCCTGAGCTTGTTTATAAAGGACATTTCTAATTCATCTTTATATTGTTTCATATGAAAATGTTTGGAAGAGTTTCACCTGTTTATTAAACTGCTTTGGTTGTTTTTTTACTTTGAGGTATGAAGAGTATCCCTTAACTTCTAACTGGAATTTTCTCCAAATTATAATAATCCATTTGCTAGTTTTATGGAAGGAAAGCTGAACAAGGACTCTCTGAGACTTTTTGGTTTCAAATGTTGTTTATCAGTTACCTGTTTAACAGTTTTTTTTTCTTATTCATCTCTGTATTCAATATTTAGCTTTTTAAAAATTTGAGAAACATTTTGCAGGGAAGTAAATGTATAAATTGCACTGGGTCTCTTTTTTTCCCCTCAGGTGCAAAAAGTAAATGTTTACAAATAGCCATGCCATTTTCTTTCCAGAGGCTTCACGTATTCTTGTTTGAGAGCATCTTGGTCTTCACGCGCCTAGTTACCCACAATGATCAACCTCAGTTCCAGGTCTATCGTCAGCCCATCCCTCTACCAGAGTTGGTGTTGGAGGACCTCCCTGATGGTGAAGTGCGAGTTGGTGGCTCCATCCGAGGAGCTTTTACTGCGGCCAATGAAAAAGGTACTGGTTCCCTACTTGATGTTTCCAGCTATGTAATGGGGTTCTTGGAGTTCAGGGAAGGACAGTGGAAGCCTTTAACCTTAGAGTGTATAAATGCCACCTAAAGAACTATTAGAACACTGGCAAAACAAAAAAAACTGTAGGACAGTCTCAGATAACCCCTTCCTCAACCAACACACCTCCTTTTTGTAGCAAAGAAATACTGAGAGTAAGATCATAAACACAGGGAGTGAGAGCTATGTCCCTCATCCATTGAAGGACACAGAATGTCTTTAAACAGAGAAAGGAGGGGAGAAGCGTTCCAAACCAAGCGAAAGAACGGGGCAGTTTTTAGCAAAGGGAGACTGGAAAAGGGGCCAGTTTTAATTCCCGGGCCCGAGTGATACGTTCGGTGGTTGATCCAATTTGTCCCAGAAAACATAAATGTATAATACGGAGATGAGGATATTGTGTAAAGCAAATCAATACAAATGTAGAAACTTACCATTAGGTAAGGAGTGTAGCGAAGTCATCGGCGAGGGGTAGAGGTGGTTGGTTCTGGTTTTTCAGGGATTCTTGGTTGCGATCCGTTGTTGGAGGGATGTCCGTCTACTGTAGTCTACTAGGCAAGGAGTGCAGCGGAGTCACCGGCGAGGGGCGAAGTCTGTAGATTCCGAATTCTGCTTTTGCCGATTGTAGTCTGTTCCTTTAAGGGGATGTGGGTCTGCTGGTCTCTAATCTGCAGATGAAATCCTGGTGGGTGCGGATGGCAGAGAGAGAGAGAGAAGGCTGGATATGACACTGTGCTTCGGTCGTTCATGGCAGTCCAGTGAACGACCTGGGAGGAAGCTGACATGGTCACACTGAGCTTCTGCAGAGGACGGCGGGGGGGATGTGGGGAGAGCTGGGTATAACGGCTGGGTAGCACAACAGGAGGGTGGTAGAGGCAAAGGGCTGGCTGGTGTTCCCACAGCCAGGCTGTATGTACAGGTGGGAGCTGGGGAACGGCGGTGGAAAAAAACTGCCTACGGCTGGAACAACACTCGGTTCATGCCCGGAGCTGGCTGAACTCCCAGGCACGAGTCGGGTGACAGTTGTATGGAGCAGCAAGGCGGCTACGCGTTTCAAAGTCCAAGACTTATTTTTCAAGCCAGGGAGAAAACCTGGAAAAACAGGAAGTCTTTAACCTTCAGGACATTCAACTTAGCTAAAAAAAATGCTAACAGGCCCAAGAAAAAAAGAACAGAAAGCTGGGGACTGCTTGGAGCTTATAGAGACGCTTGAAAGACCAGGTGGCAGCCTTGCAAATCTGGGAAATATTTGCTTGATGATAAAAAGCCCAGGAAGCCCTTGCAGATCTAGCAGAGTGTGCCTTGAAAGGAAAGGTTGGAACCTAATTCTCATGGCCATAGGTTTACATGAGTGTATGCCTAAGCCACCCAGAGATAGTGGAACAAGAAGCTGGTGGAACCTTTCAGGGTCCAAGGATGAAAGAATGACGAAAAGGGAATCCATCTTCCTGAAAGAAGCAGCAGCTCAGAGGTAGACTCACACAGCCCGAAAGGCCAATGTCCTGGTTAAAGTGAAAGACAGAAACTAAGTTAGGCAGAAAGAAAAACCTGGGTCTCAACACCGCCTTATCCCCATACAAAACCAAAACTGGTTCCTTGCAGAGTAAGTTCAGACACTCACCTCACAAAGATAATAGCCACAAGAAATACCATCCTGTGGTGAGAGTAGAATAGTGAATGTTTTTAATGGGTTCAAATGTCAGTTTATGAAGCGCAGAGAGAACCAGATTCAAAGCCCATGGAGTCGCAGGGAACAGACAGGGGGAGCAACATGGGAGATCCCCTATAGAAAAGGTCTTAATCGAAAGGGTGAGAATCTAATAGTCTGCAACAGAATAGCAAAGGAAGAAACCTAGGTTCAGAGCCAGAAGGGGAGGAATTGTCCCATATCAAAACTGGGTTGAAAGCCCCAAGAGTCGCACCAAGTGAAGTATGTCTTCCAGTTCCGATGATAGACTTTGGAAAGAGTAGACTTGTAAGCCTTTAGCATAGCAGGAATCACAGACTCCAGAGATGCACCTGTCTCTCAGATTCTGGGCTTCAACAGCCATGCCATGAAGCAGATTGGCAAACTGGTCTTTGGGACAGAAGATTGTAACACTCTAGCAGAGCCCATGAAGCATCTCCCAGGAGTCTTACCAGGTTGGTATACCACATCCTCCTAGGCCATCTAGATCCTGCAAAGCTGACGAGGAAGGAGTTTCAGTGGAGGAAAGGGTCGATTAGGGTGTAATGATCCCGCTGAGCCACCAGAGCATCCACTACTTCTGCTAGGGGATCCCTGTCTCTGGAGACAAACTTGTCCAGTCCGTTGTTGAACTTGGAGGCCAGACTTGTTGCCCGGCTTCCTGATTGGTCGGGAAGCCGGCTTCATGCTCCCTCATCATCTCGTGACAGGGGAGCATGGAGCCATCTTCCCGGCCAATCAGGAAGCCGGGCGCCACATCATTACATGGCGCCCGGCTTCCTGATTGGCCAGAAAACCGGCTTCATGCTTTCTCGTCACCTAGTGACGAGAAGCATGGAGACGGCTTCCATGCTAATTGGGAAGCCGGGTGGGACGTCCGGTATCGGCGAGTACCGAAAAAAAGAATATCGGTACTCGATACTGAAAAAACGGTATTGGTGCATACCTTGTTAACACACGTCCCTGGATTCTGAAAAGTGGGGGCACACCTTCATACCAAGAAAGGCTTGTCTGGGGATTTGGGAGCCTTTGAGCCCCAGGCCTTGCGAGTGAACAGGGAGCCATGCTTGGGAGGAGGGAAGGTCTCGATGTGGAGAAATAAGTGGGATGATAAAGAGAGAGAAGCTTTGCAGTCTGTTCCTTAGATTTCTACCGCTGAAGATGGGTTCTCTTACCACTGGTAGTGTCTTTTTGATAATGGTATTCAGTATACTTCCACAGAGACCATGTCCCTCAAAAGCCATGTGGATCAGACAATTCTTGGATGTGCTTCCAGAGAACCATCACATCTGTAGTTTAAAGCTACAGCCATTTACTCTAGCCATGCTATAAAAGGTCAACTGCAGCAGTGGTTAGATCTCTTTTAAGGGATTCTGCCCAGTCCTCCAGTGGTTTGGCACAGTAAAGTCCCAACCAAGATGGAATGAAGAGCAATGTCTGCTAGTGAGAACATAACTCAGGGGGGATTCCAACTGCTTATCATCCATTGAGCCCCCGGGTCCATAAAGAGAAGCATACTCTACCAGTATAGCATGGTGGTCAATTTGTTAAGATGGGACACTGGTGGATCCACAGTGGGGTAGACTACTTTCTTACAATATTCCCCCAAAATGGGTACAATATGTGTTTGGGTGGAGCTAGTGGTTTTTGTACTCATTTTGGGGGGAGCAAACAGCTTGTCGGGGTGTGTCCAATCTCTGTAGAGATAAAACTGGAACAGCGGGTACAATGGAAAAATCTTAGCATCCTTAGGAGGACTCAAGACTGGAAACAAGATTAGTAGCAGCAACAGGCTGATCCTCTAGTTTCAGAGTGGTGTGCGCCACATTGAAACCAGCCAAAATGGTCTGTTAACTTGGGAGTAATAGCAGTGGACTGCGACACGGCAAGCTCATCAAGCAAAGACTGAAGTGTCTTAGAATCCATATCTCAGCAGCTGCCAAGGCCGCTGGCAGATCAGATACAGAATCTGTGAGAGAAGGTGCAGGAGCATGCTTGTGGCCTCTGTGGTCAGAGTCAGTGAATAAATGTAGCTAAAAGGGCAGGGGAACAAGCAACATACGACGAAGCTAAAGAGGACTCTATTGACGGAATAGACTATAGGAGTAGAGGGTCATGTTGCAGACATTAGCACCATCATGAAGCACTGCAAGCAGACCCTGGAGCTCTTAGTAGAGTGTGAGTTGGGGGCATCTGTTACAACGGGACTAACCCCCGTGTGTAGAATCACCACATGGTGGTGAGACAACTCAAGGCTCTCGGTACTCAAGAAACCTAGACTGCAGGTGAGGGTCAGATGGGTGGAGGTGACCTGTAGGTACCCAGCAGGTATCGATAGAAGTTCTACTTTACAAGTAGGTCAGCAGGAAGATGCTTCTTAGTTACTGTATGGTGTGACATAGCGTGGGGCATGAGACACTACATGCGGTGGATGATGTCAGCACTCCCCACAGCATTAACCACTTTTTGTGGTGAAAACTAGAAAATGGGGAATTTTTAAAAGGTGCCCATCAACTCATGTACTTGAGGTAGCATGACCCAACCACTTTACTTACAAACTGAGTTTTTAGAGACAGGGCAAGCACTGAGGCAATACCAGTGGTTTTACACCTGGAAAACGCTCTACAACCAACTTTTTACTAGAATGGAGTCTAGAAAGTGCAATACGTGGAACTGAGTGCCCGAAAGTTACTTCCAGGCTATCTCCACAAGTCCAGTGGGGTCCAGTTGCGAGCTTTAAAAGCCAGGCTGAGGATGGATAGCTGTGATCAAAGAGGCAAACTGTAGCAGCAAAGTAGAGAAGAGTCCTGATTGAAGAAGAGAAAAAAATCTTTAAAGGAGTAAGAAAAAGCTGTTAAAAATAGGATTAGTCACCCACAAAGGAGAGCTGAAGAAAAGATGTCAGTCTTCCTAGGACACTATGAAATTACTGAGGCATACTGGTAGTAGGAGGGGTTATCCTAGGCTGGCCTAGTTTTTTTTTTTTTTTTTTTTATTTCCAGTGTCCATTCCTTCTCTAGTGAGCAGTATAACCCAAAGATAAAACACTTTCTATGTCCCCCAATGAAGGAGACAGAAAATCATTTCTAAGCTGTTCAATTTAATGAATTACATTCAAAATAAGGAAGGCAAAGCCATGAGGAGTTGGGGAATCAAGATTTTATTTCAAGTAACTATGAGGCGAGTGGAAATCACTCATCTCATAGTTCTCCTTTAAAATTAAGAACCCAGCTGCCCTGCCTGCACCTCTGCTTAAAATTCTAAATGGCAGGAATCAGGAAGTTTTTACTTTACCTAGAGAAACCACTACTGAGACCCCACAATTGTTGGTCACATGATCATTCCGGAAGGGGAGGAGCAGCCAGTTTAAACTGTGATTCTGCCCCTTCAGTGAATATTGTGTGATCAAATGCCAAGCCATTATAGTCATGTGAATTCTGTCTCTTGTGGGGGGGGGGCAGGGAATACTATTTTCACATTGGGAGGGGTTATATATGATGTATATTTGGTGTTTCGTATTGATATGTATATTTATAATATATGCTTTAACAATTCTTGAAAAGTTAAAAAAAATATACAGTGGTACCTCAGTTCACGAACTTAATTCGTTCCGCAATTCCGCACTAGAGGAAGCCATGATCATGTGTCAGAGCGGGGAAAATGGCTGCGGTTGTGTTAGTCAGCCGAAGCGGAGTTCGCGAACGGAGGCAAAATTTTGCGGAACTTTCTGTTCGCGAACAATTTGGTGCGTTCGTGAACAGAGGTACCACTGTATATGTAAGCATGAAGATGATATCCAGGCAAACAATTCTATACACAGCTGAAATAGAAATTATTTGCCAGGTATGGTAATTCACAAATATGTAATTCTGTTTGGTCAGTCTTGTGACCCAGGCCCCAACAGCCCGGTCCCTGACCTCTACTGAAGCACATTGAGGATTACTCTGTTTACTGGTCCCTTCAACAAGCCCCCAGTGTTAGACTGGTGCCCCAATCCCTTTAAAAATCTTGCTTCGCAGGGCAGTCCAAGCAGCTCATATAAACTCAATTTTCAGCATGTTTACATTTAAATTAATATATAGCTTTTAGGCTCTGGGCAAACAGCTGAATACACAGCTGGTAGCTGTTTGTAACTTTTGTATTTCTGTTCCTCCAGTCCTGAGATTTACCCCGGCTAGGCAATACAGCCAGGTTTGTGACTTGACTTTTCCCTACTGCAAATGAGTAATACAGTTTATGCCCTTCCTTGCCCCGTCTGTGACTGGGCAGCAAAGGAGCAGCAGATAGAGAAGTTCATCCCCTCTGCTCTCTCCTGCCGTTTGTTTACTGTTGGCACCAAACACTGCAGAAAAGCCCTTCTGGCCAATACTGCCCCTCCCTTGCCAGCCCTAAATGCTGCTGTACAGGGATTACAGGAGGCTGAAATCTGGGTTTTTACACTTGTTGCATGTAACTATGAACCATAGCAAGATTTCCTAAGGCTTTATATTTTTTTTTTTAAACAGCCAAAAACTTTTTCCGGGTGAGTTTCCGGGACAGATCAAGAGGACAAGCTCACACTCTACAAGCTAACGACTCGTTCAACAAACAGCAGTGGGTCAGCTGTATACGACAGGCCTTGGTGGCAAGCAGAGAGCAAAGGAGTACCCGCCTCCAGGCACAGGAGAATTCTGGTACTTTTATAGACATTTCTGACCTGAGCCTCAACTGCTACGAGGACAGCAACAAGATGGAGGACAAGTAAAAGGTGGAGAGGCAATTGCGCCACTCTGGTATGGAAATGTGGTCAGTAAGAGACAATCTGACAATCAGTGCATTGCCAATAACTTCCAATGCTGCAATTCTAATCAATAGGCCCAAAAAACTCCAAGACTGTTAAGATTTTACGGTCATATATTTTTATGCATCGTTTTCTTTTTTAATATTTTGCTAATTAAAAAGTGACCTTTGATTTTTTTTTTTTATATAGAACAATACACAACTTTCTGGTTTCTCTTCTATCTTGAACTGTTTCTGCACCTCGCTTTTCAAAAACTGATCTTTCCTCTTTATTAGAATGTAATTAAAACATATAAATGGGGTCTATGTATAATATAATATTTGGAATAACGGACCACTTTATTGAATGTCGCAAATAGTATTTTTGTACTTCCTGTAAAATCCTTTTTTTTGGGTCCCCTAATTAGAATGTGTGACCAGTGACGTGGTCACACATTTTAACGTAATCTCGCCCAGTTTTTCGGTGGTGGAATAGGTGAAGAATTCCAACGCTTTCATTTTTTGGTGTAACTATTTTATTTTGAAGGCATGTTTAAATACAATTAAATTAAAATTATTAAATCGAAACAATCTAAAATATAAACAAACAATCAACGTCCCCCCCCTCAGCGGGCCACGGTAAAATTATCAAACGTTGACCGGTCCGCGGCGATAAAAAGGTTGGGGAGCACTGCACTAAGGGACACAGGAATTCAGATACAGTCCAGTTATACTGCCACTTACAAAAGAAACGGACATAGGCAAACATAAAAATTGTATGCCAGCACCTATATAACCCCTCCTCTACCAAACATGTCTCAATTTTGTGGGAAAGCAGAACCATGAGCATGATCATAAGCACAGAGGGGTGGGTCCGGTGTCTGTCATTGAATTCCAAAGAAAGGATTTTACAGTAAGTACAAAAATCCAGTTGTTTTCTTTCTCGTCCATTGAGAGACAGGGAATTCAGATACAGTCACAACCAAACAGCTCAACTGGAGGGTAGGCAACACAGCAACAACCGCTAACAAGCCTTATGCAGAGTACCAATCTGAAATTGGATGAGGTGGAGCCCTGTACTAGATAAGTGAACCAAACGGAAGGTTACACTGAACCAGCAAGAAGCTGAGCAATCAGAACGCACCAAAACAGGTGGAATAACAACAAATTCCTCAATAAGGAAGAAAAGACTCACAACCTGATGTGGTCAACAGAAAACATTGGGACAACCCCCAGAAGAAACAGCTTCAAAGAGGGAACCTAGAACAATAACCAGGTCAAGAGGTCCAGGCCAGAAAGACTAGCCGGTCAACATGGAAAGGCCTGAAGCCTTACACCCCTCGTAAACTCAATGACGAAAAAGGGTGTTGCCGTACCAGACCATCAATCTCGCTAAGCATGGTATACAACAGAATTTATGGTGTCAGCACAACACAATAGCCCACAATTGCTGTGAACCAACTCCTGAGACTGCTAAAGATTTCAAGGGTTTGATGCCACACAATGTGCCCAAAGGGGTAAGGTATATGGGAGGCAACCCCCTTTCACTAGGGTAGGCAGGAATGGAAGTTAGTCCTCAGCCCCAGGCTGGTAAGATAGGAAACAACAGAAGGAAATGAGGATGAAACCTCTCCAAAAACACCCAGAGATGGTGCTGAGGCATGGCAGAAGAATTCTGCACAGTCTGCCTAACCCCCACCACAAGCCATGGGACTAAAGCTGGCCATACACTGATAGATTTTCTGTGGTCAGATGGAAAAAGTGCAACAGATTCCTCCATCTACACTAAACTGTGTGGTTGGAGGAATCTCCCGTTGAGCCAAGCTTCAGTAACTTGCTAGTTGGCCTCAAAACACCTGAACAATCTGATTGGATGCAGGCATTTTTCAGGTATTTTGAGACTCTGCGGGGCCGACTAATACGATACTGAACCTTGGCCCAGTGGGAGATTCCTCCATCCACACAGTTTAGCGTAGATGGAGGAATATGTTGCACTTTTTCCATCTGACCATAGAAAATCTGCAGATAATCTATAGGTGTATGGCCAGCTTAAGAAGCTCTTTATCTCCCCAAGTCCAGCGAAGCATCAACAGTTGTGGAGTGAGGAACAGGCATCTTAGCAAAACAGCTAAGACCATTCACCTGATTAAGAGCAGAACAAGGAAAGGCAGCTGAGGACTATCCTCAAGAGGCTGCAGTTCAGCCAAAGAAGGAAAACATATTCCCAGGTAAACAGGCCAAAAGAAGTCCTCCGGACATTCTCTACCCCCAGCACAGGGTATCTGCAGCAGATAGCTAGTGTGTGCCACCAGCTGACAATTCAGGGAGACAGAGGAACCTCCAAATAAGATATATATCCACCATGTAGGGTCTAAAGTGCACCATGGTGTGCACTTCATGGACATGTATGGGGGAGGATCTTCATGGTGCAAAGACTACCAGTTGAGAAGAGATCGTTTTCTAGATCTAGATATGTGCTATATAGAGACCAGCTTAAGCAGCAGTGTAGTAAGGAATCTTGGTTGACAATTGACATTGATGGAAGAAGAATCCAAGGGGGAAACAATTAATGAAATAAGGCTAGCCAAAATGTGGTTTGACTCTTTTTTTTTTTCCCCAGCAGAGCTGAAGAAAAGATGTCCATCCTCCTAGGACACTAGGAAATATTGAGGCATGCTGGGGAGATGTGGGGTGATATGGTGGCTGGCTTACAATTTTCCCATTAGCCAGTGTGCAAACCTTCTCCAGCAGTATAACCCAACTCTATCTGAAATCCTGTGCCCCTTAAGTGACAAAAGGAAAGGAAATTGGTCACATTTAATAATAAATGACTAGATTTGACTGCCAACTAGTGTGAAACCAGTGAGCTACTCTATCAGCTCACACCTGGCCTCTACAGCAAATACAGTAAATGTGGTTTGGTGTAAACATTTACCCCACTCCCTACACTGCCATTAAACATGTATGCGCTGATCACCAAGACAGGTAAACAGTGAGACACTTCTAGCACTGGCTTATTTACAGGAAAAATGACTAACAAGACATGTATTATTTTCCATGAGACAGTGAGGGGAGGGGCCGAGCCATTTGCTGGCATGTACGGTTTTATTACAGCAGAACTGCAGACAGACAAAATACAGTGTGAATTGTTTTACCTGAACCTTGCTAGTCTGTACAGCCATTCTTGCAAATTGCACGGCCAGGAAGAACGTCATGTTTCCTGGTTCACCTACTCACAAACTAAATGGAGGTGGTATTGCCAATTTAGTGTCCAAACAACAGGTTCGTGGTGGTGTGAGGTGACAAGGTGAACCACAATAAGTGTCTCCTGCCTGGTTGTGCCAGAGGTATGTACAAATTACTGTGCAGGCAAAACTGTAAATATTTATTTTTAACCACACCACTTTAAATGGAATCTTCATGAACTGACTGGGGAGGTCTGTGCCAAACATAAGGCTGCATTTACACCAAGGTGTCAGCGTTTGTGCGTTGTCATCTAAATTAGCACGTTTTTCCACGAGCTTCATTTTAGAAGATTCCAACATATTTAATCCCATGGACTTCAATGGAAACGCTTGGAAACACACATTTCTGCGTGCATGTGTCCATTGACTGCAATGTCTTTCAATCTGCCCCCTAAAACATGGACATTAAGACTCGTGTTTTAGGGGGCAGATTGAAAGAACCAGCACATTTATTCTACAGCCTGGTTTACATAAAGGGAACAATAAAACACAAAGCAGTATGTAGGAGGAGGTCTCGGAAACTTTCAGAAATACAGATAATAGAGAGAACATTCTCACTTCCTCTTATCTTGTTGTGTACTGCAGGCAGCCTAAACTGACCAATAGCCAGTGCTGGACAAGTGTATTTAGAATTCATTAGCAAGGCAGTCAAATGACAAAGTTAGGGAATACCCAAATTCCACTGATAACCCTAACAGGCACTTTTTAGGTGCACATGCTCCCGAGATCTGTTCACCTTTGTAAAGAATCGGAAATGTAGCCAAGGCATTGAAGGAAGAGAGGGCTATTCTGACTGTAGGGGAAATGACTGCAATCCTCCATAAGCCTTCTGCCAGCATAATTCTCAATCTATGCGACAGCTAGTGGAACACACACTTCAAGGACAGTGAGCCTGGACACAGAACAAGAGCTTTCACAAGAAGATGTTACAATGTCAGATATTCAAACTCCAATGGCTGATATACACACACACACTGTGAGATAGAGATATATATAATTTGCTTTCTTGTAAATGACTTCCAGTATCCTTATAATACACAATCCACCTGTGCTTCCTTCATGTATGTGCAAAAACTGCATGGCAATGGAACTTGTTTTCACAGTCAGAACACTGCAATCAAATAATAGATGTACATGTGTGAAAAGGTAAAAGGAGCTAACATAGTTCCCTGCAGAATTCAGTGTCCCATGTTCCCTCCACTGCAGGTCACTTGACTGACTAAAGCTTAAGCACTTAAAATACACTTACAGCCCCTGCCTTTACATATTGCCTGGACTTAGAGGATCATGAGCTGGAGAGGCCCACGGGACTGCTCCCTATACGCTTAGGATGCAACACACTGTGGTGCACTAAGGCGAGTAATACACCAGGAAGCACCCTGAATACTCACAACCCAGCTGTGCAAGCAGGGAAGGTGATATAGCTAGAGGTTACCTTATAACTATGGCCAGTAGCAAACTACCTTACACTGAAAAGGTGGGATCGGTCAGTGGGAGAGTGCACACACAGCTATTAGAGATGCAGAGCTTAATTCTCTAGCGCATTAACCCTTTGAAGGTATAAGCAGAATAGTAATAGCATTCCATGCTCACATGGGGCCTCAGACGTACCATAGGCAGAGCCCTGAAAAGCATGGTGTTTTTTCTTTTTGAGCAGGCATGGTAATGAAGTACCGTAAAGAGTGCTATAAGCAGAATCCAATCACACTGCAGGCATTCTTCGCCCAATACCATGGTCATACTTCCAAGGTTGTCTTCAGGGATCAGGATCACACCCGAGGCTGTCTCACTGGCCTTGGACC